GGGAGGTACCCAAAAAGTCGACTTTTTGGGTACCTGCTTTGGTGGTGCTGGGTTGGGTCTGCACTCTTAAGGCTAAGGCTAAGGCTAACATAGAGCAAGGCTAGCGCTAAGGTTCTATCCCTTGGGGGTCGGCGGCTGCAGGCGGTAGCCTGGTAAATAGGTATAAGCAAGCACTCGGGGTTGAACAAACCACAAAAAATCCAACTGTACAAAACAACGTGGAACATGTGCTTGATTCTGGTGAGACGCTTCTGACAATTCAGCTTCTCTGCCAAGAACCATGCCATAAACGACATTCCTATTGTAAGCGCTTTTGCCTTTCCCAAACCGCTGCTGCTCTCTCCCAAACAAGATCCCAAGCAAATTCTTGTCTTCCATCACGTGAATAGCTTGCAAAAACTTGTCAATCGCCACCGAAGGAAGGATTCCGTCATAGGATGCTTCCTCCATGTTGATTTTCTGTTTCTGTTCCATTCCAGCCTGTGAAGTATCCAGAAACATCTGGGTAATGTTCTCACCTTGTTCACCTGCTTGGCCTTCTGATGCCCAGCGCGCTGCTCGTTCTGCTGGTTCCTTTGCTTTGAGCAAGTCAGCCAGCTTTGATGAAGATGAAGTCGTCTGAGATGGGTGCTTTTTCTCCCCATCCGCAGCGCGCAAAAGCCCAACCAGCACATCCTTCGACAGACCGGTTTGCTTCTTCAAGCCGGTCACGCGACGCTCCCGAGCAAGATCGTACAACGCCCTCCATGTCATGGACTCATAGTCAGACGGAGAGTCTTCATGCTTCTCCTGTAGCGTAGTCTTTGCAACCTGCTTGCCGGAGCTCGCTGCCTTTGCTGCCTTCTGGTCTTTGTCTTCATGCTCATTTGGCGTAGTCTTTGCAACCTGCTTTTTCGAACTTGCCTTTGGCGCTGCCTTTTCTTTGGTTTTGTCAGCATCTTTGGCAGCCTTCTGCCCTTCAACTCCAAGCTCCTCTGGCGCTTGGTCTTCAGGCTCCTTTGGCACAGTCTTTTTGGAGCGGCCCTTTGGAGCTGCCTTTGCTGCCTTCTGGTCTTGGTCTCCAAGATCCTTTGGCATAGTCTTGGCATCCTTCTTGCTGGAGGTCGCCTTTGGCCTTGCTTTTTCTTTGTTTTTGTCAGCATCCTTTGCAGCCTTCTGGTCTTCATCTCCAAGCCCATCTGGTGCCTTCGCTGCCTTTGCATTGCCCTTGTCAGAATCCTTCTTTGATGCCATCTGGTCTTGGTCTCCCAGCTTCTTTGGCATAGTCTTGGCATCCTGCCTGCTGGAGCTGGCCATCGGCGCTGCCTTTGCTGCATTCTGGTCTTGGTCTCCAAGCTCCTTTGGCTTAGTCTTTGCATCCTTCTTGCTGGAGGTCGCCTTCAGCTCTGCCTTCGCAACCTTGTCTTTGCCGTCATCAGGATCCTTCTGCACCTTCTGGTGTTGAAGCTTGGGTCTTTTTCTTGGCATCTCATCCTCCTCTTCCAAAGTCTGTCCAGGAACCTGCAACAGTGCCGCAAGAGCCCCACTGTTTGGAGAAAAAAACCTAGGAAACTATCTGGGAACCATGTTGACGATGCAGGCAGGAGCTTATTGGAGAACCCAAACTGCACTGAGACAAAAACCCAAGAGTAGTTTTGTGGATTTCCTTGTGTCAAAAAAATGGTTTTATTTTCTGTGCATGTTCTCTGTCTTAGTTTGGTTGAAACCCCATTGTGTTGACATCTGTGGGCTCTATTGTCAAGCACTCAAATTGTACATGAAGTACACGCTGCAGGCAAAGCACCTTCGGCACGCCAATGTCTATCAGCTCAATGCTCCCGAGGACAGACATCACGATCAAACCCGCATTGAACACATGCATTGCATTCCCAATCTGCTGATGAGCACTCTTTGTAAGCCTTGGCTCAACCACTGGTCGTCCCAATATCGTTGCCAGCTTTTGAGTTGTAGGCCAACCCATGGCCGTCCACTTTTCTTTCGATGTAAGCCACCGAGAACGGCTCATGCTCCAAAGGAATTGATAGTTGCTCGCCAGAAAAGTAGGAAGGCTGCCATCAGCGTGGGAAGTGGTGGCGTGCTTGAATGGGTGCTGACTGAGGGAGCAGACCTCCAATCCAGGATCCATTGACTTCTTCTCAAACAGCTCGCGGTACCCACCGTGCTGGCCGCTCTGCCCAAATAGGTTAGTCTTCTCCGACATCACCAGCATGCTTGAACTCAGCTTTGTGGCAGTGGGGTTTGAAACATGGTAGCCCTATTCCTATAGTTTTGACCCGCGGGCTAAAATAAAATAGTCGGCAACTGGAAAAACTGCTGACATTTTGTTTTTCTTTGTCAACTAAGACTCAAAGAGCAGCCCTCAGTGTAGTGGCGGAAGCGGCTGGCGACACCCCTGAGCTCTTGCTGCAATCCCTCATCATCTTCAAACCAAAGCGCAGATTGAGAAACCTGCTTCTGACTCAAAACACCTGCAAGTTTTTCATACAGGAGATTTGGATCTTGGAAGAACCTGAAAGGAGGAGCCACTCCAACAATCCACCCTCTGTCCCGCCGTACGCTTCCCATTCCCACGTCTTCGGGCATCGTGATGATGTAGCGGATCTCGCAGTCATTCATGGCAGATGCAATGGCTGTCTGTCCTTCCACATCCACAACATTCTCAGACACGCGAATTGGAATCTGCCGCCGCTGCAAATCGCAAAAATGCAAAAGCATGGCATTCACGTTTTTGCCTTCGGTGCCACGTCGACTCCCCTGAGCTGAATAGTCCACACAAGGACTCCCAGATATGTCCATGTGGACCTGTGGGATGCTACATCGGGTGTCATGACTTTGGCACTTACTAGTCTTTTTCAAGACAACCGACTTCATTTGCTTCATCTTCTCCGTAAATGTCACGTCTTTGTCTATGGGAAGGTTCCCAGTTGGGGCCAAATCATACACGTCCTTGAAAAAATGATGGTTGGAACCAAACCTGTGCTGGTAGAATTTGCACACGTCCGTGTCCGTGTCGCATGCGTAGAGGAAATCAAAGGCCAATGGTATATGAGGCTCAATTGTCCTGAAGGCTTCCTCACAGCTGCCAATGCCACTGAACCTAGAGCCTACGGTGAGAGTCATTGGACTCAACAGAACTGGTTTGTGGCCGCTCTTGACAGGGCCCTCCACAAACTCTGCAACTTGCCTACAAAGATTGGCAAAAGCCTCAAAGGATTCCTCCACGGATTGGGACGGTAGCCCGGCCAAGTTCCTCCTTTTGAGCGATGCCGCTTGCAAATCCAAGGGCAAGGGGCCCAAATCAGCAGAACGGGTGGCATGTTTTATTGGAGAGGTGGTCATGCCCGTGCAGGGCCCCAAGTCAACTGCAGTGTTCCGGTAGAACGTGTACCTCTTGGGGCCCCACACTTCAACTACAGACCCAAGATGGAGCGCTCGGATGCTAGAGTCCTGATCGAAGATTTTGAGCGCTTCTTCGCCGTGAGCTTCTCTGACGGCTTGCAACGACGACTCTGAGGAACCCGTGATTTCAACAATTACATATGGACATTTGCCACATCGTCCATTCTTGAACATGAGATGCTTCCGCTGTGCAAGGCTTTGGATCCTGCTAGTATCTGCTCGGAACTCGTATTTTTTTTCTGCCTGCAACGATTTCGTCGAAGTACTTCCGTATGATGGGGAGCAAAGCCATGCCAGCGTAAACTCGCGGTTCAAACTCCTGCTTCTCTTCTGGCAAAGCCTCCTGCGCAAATGAAGTCTCCACAAAAAAACAGGGAAGCGATGAGCTGAGCCTCTCATCTTCCGTCTCTTGCGCTAGTAGTAGAAGCATCTCACAACTATATAAGAACTCTGAAGGAACACACATCTTCTGGCACAAATGAGGTATCAGTTGCTCATTCTCTTGTTCCAAAGAGCAGCTGAACAACGTACCGGTGTCATGACTATGGTGTATATACCCATATGTAATATGGAAGATTCGAGCCCGTGTCTGCAACACAGCCTTCGGGATCTCTTCTGACTCTTCTGGCAAAGCCTCCTGCGCAAATGAAGTCTCCGCAAAAAACAGGGAAGCGATGAGCTGAGCATCTCATCTTCCGTCTCTTGCGCTAGTAGTAGAAGCATTTCACAACTAAGAACTCTGAAGGAACACATCTCTTCTGGCACACATGAGGTATCAGTTGCTCATTCTCTTGTTCCAAAGAGCGGCTGAACAAAGTACCGGTG